GAGCTGCGCGCCCGACCAGGCCACGTGGCAGCCGCAGAAGTCGCGCAGGTAGCGGTGCAGCTCGGCCACGGCCGCCACGCCGCTGGAGCCGGCCACCCGCACGGGGCTCCGGCCGCCGCCGCCGCCGCTGCTGGTGGAATGTGTCTGCGCCCGGGGTTGGCGCCAGGGAGCGCTCCACCGACACCGAGAACCCGCGGCCGCCCGGGGCCCCAGCAGGCGTGACAGCAAAGTCCGCACGGCCGCTGCCTCTCGGGCCTCGCCCCCTGCTATGTCGGCCCCAGCCCCAATCACGAGCAGGCAGGCCAGAAGGGCCGCCGCAGACCAATCGCCTAAGGCTATCGAGGGGGCGGTGCCGCTGCTGCCAATCAGCGGCCGCCTGTCCGTGCACGTGCCCTCCAGGTGTTAAAGGACAGGCTGGTGAGGTACATGGGGCACTAGCTACTGGGTCTTAGGCTACTTAAACATCGATGCAGGCGTCCCCGAGAGCTGCTTCTCCTTTGCAGTTAGCAAGCTTTGCTTCGCCTCGTGGATCTAGGACGGAGCACAGTGAGTAGATGGAACCGAGGATTTGGGGTCAGAAACACCTGAGTTCGAATCCTACCTCAGACGCTTTACTAAGCTTTGCAACCCAGGTCACGTCGTTAATCAGCCTCAGTCTCCGGTGACAAAATTGGCCTGAGGTACTAGGTAATTCCAATAACCTCAGACATCAATGCACAGAAAGGAAACTGAAGTTTATTGGCCAAGAGTGACACGTTGTCAGAAATCAATGGATATATGTTCTGTCATTATTCAGTTGGTAACAATTATGCCATAAAGAAAGAGGAGATGCTTGAGTGGGACACAGAAAAATAGGAATGAAGAAATGTATCCTTATTTTCTAGACATTCCCAATAGGTCAAAAGAGAATCTTCTTCCTTTAAAGATGAGATAAAGAGACAAGGCAGGCCCCCTGGAGCTGTCAAAGTCCTCTAAGCTCTCTCTGGTGATAGCAAAGCGACTAGAGGCAGAAGGTAGACTGTGGAGGAAACCAGTCCAGTGGAAACTGGTCCTGAGCTTAGTCAATGCAGCAAAATGGCCAACAGAAAAAAATGGATTTAGTCAAGTGAAATCCTAACGGAAATAAGTCAATAAAAATTGATTAAGCACCTACTAGGTGCCAGGCACTGATCTAAGCATAGGGGATGCAAAGAAAGGCATAAGGCAGTCCCTGCCTTCAAGGAGCTCACAATCTATTAGGGGGGGCATCAAACAAACTATACTGGATAAATAGGAAACAACAGAAAGGAGGCCACTGGAATTAAAAGGGGGTTGGGGAAGGTTTCCTGTAGAAGGGAGGATTTTAATTGGTGTTTAAGGGAAGTCAGGTAGGTCATAATCTGATGGGAGAAGGGAGAGGGAACTATACCGGCAGAGAGAATGTCTAGAGAGGAGAAAGTGTCTTGTTCCTGGAACAGCTGTCACTGGATGATTGAGTATGTGCCAGTAAAGTGTAACACAACTGGATAGGTAGGAAGGGCTTTGAATGCCAAACAGCATTTTGTATTTGCTCCTGGAGGTTTAAGGAGCCCCTGAAGTTTATTGGAGGTGGGGTATGGACCTGTGTTTTAGGAAAATCACTTTAGTGGCTTAATGGAGAATGGTTTGGAGTAGGGAGACTTGACAGGTAGAACCACCGAAGGCTATTGCAATAATTAAGGCATGAGATGATGAGGGCTTGCACTAGAGTGGTGGCAGGGCCCCAAGAGAAGGCGGCTGTATTCCAGAAGGGTTGCAAAGGTGAAATCAACAGGCCTTGGCAACAGCTTGGATATGGGGAGGCAGGGGTCCAGGATGACTCCTAGGTTTCCACCCTGAGGGATGGGAGGATGGTATTGCTCTCTAGAGTAATAGGGAAGGTAGGGGTGGAGGAAGGAGGGTTTAGGAGAGAAAGAGGAATTCTCTTTTAGACATATTGAATTTAAGATGTCTGCTGGACGTAGAGGTCAAGATTGGAGGTCAGGGCTTAGATTCTTAAAATCTAGCCAGTGTTCAGATTTTTATAATCTAGCCAATGTTCAGACTAATGTTCAGACTCCTTAAGAGTCTGCCCAACATGACAAATGTTCTAATAAGCCTTATCTTTGGCTGAAAGAAGGCTTGGGGTGGAATTCTTCCAGGCAGCACCTTGTGTTGTGATATTGGGGTCCCAACACCCCTGAACCTCTCTAAACCTCATCATTTTGGTGGCCCGTACAGGGAAACTGCCTAGCCCCAAGTTCTTCTCTAGCCAAGACTGGAATCATGGGCCCCCTTGGCACCTTTGCCTGGAAGCATCACCCAGGTTCAGCTCATTCTGATCAAGGTAATGAAGCTAGCCTCGGAACTTGGACTACAAGCCATTCACCTAGCAAACAGTGGATACTAGCCTATGTCCCCCCATGGCTTCCTGGATGCAGCCTGTGCTCGGTTCCAGTCAACCTCCTCTTTGGGACCCCCTCGAGGCAGGGACAGCTCTATGCCCCCTGACAATAGGAAGCAGTTTCAGAAGCTGAGACCTTTTACCCTTATCCCAAAAGAATTTGGGTCCCATTTGTTTGAGGGGAGAATGATGGGGTTGGGATCTGGACCCCAGAAAGGAAAAACCCTAGATTTTCCCACATGGCCAAATCTCTGGCATTTGTCTGAGGCTATAATCCAATCAACTAGCCTTTCATTGTGGCTATACCCAATATCTCAATTCTGTTACCCTTAATCTAGCCTAGCCTTCCATTGTTTTACCTCCCTATGGCCCCCAGCAATTCCCCACCCTTAATCCTAGATAGGCTCCATTCCCCCTTGGCCACATGGTCCAGGTCCCAGGAGTTCTGTTCAACCCAGTTTATTGGCCACTCCCATCCAGATCCTCCTTAGACCCCTCCTCCAGTCACCCCAAACTATTTGGCCACTCCTAGATCTCTCCCACAGTCTTTCTGTATATAAGGTCCATCTTGTCTCCATTAAGGTGCTCAGATTCTTAAAATCTAGCCACTGCTCAGATTTTTATAATCTAGCCAATAGTTTACTAATGTTCAGACTCCTTAAGAGTCTGTCCAATATGACAGATATTCTAATAAACCTTGTCTTTGGCTGAAAAAAAAAGATTGGAGGTCAGCGGAGAGATTGGGACAGATCTGAGAATTATCTGCTGAAAGATGGTAATTAAATCTATGGAAGCTGCTGAGATCACCACATGAAGTAATATAGAGGGAGAGGGCCCAGGACAGAACCCTGAGGGGCACCCTATGGTTAGAGGGCAATCTGGGTGATCTGGAAAGAGAATCCAACAAAGGAGACAGAGAAGTGGTAGATAGATAGGACTGAGTGGTGTCCTGAAAACCTAGAGGGAAGAGAGTATCAAGGAGAGAATAATCAACGGTGTCAAAGTGATGCGGTTATGGGGTTCAGGGGTTCTGGGACCCCAAAATCACAACACATGGGTCCTGCCTGAAAAATTTGACCCAAGCCTTCTTTCAGTGGCCAGTAAACTGGGTTGAACAGAATTCCTGGGACCTGGACAATGGAACCTAGCTAGGATTAAGTGTGGGAAATGGCCAGGGACCATAGGGAGGTAAAACAATGGAGGGGAGATTGGGTGTAGCCAGAATGAAAGGCCAATTGATGGATTATAGCCTCAGGCAAACGCCAGAGATTTGGCCATGTGAGAAAATCCAGGGTTTTTCCTTTCTGGGGTCTAGATCCCATCCTCATCAAAAGGCTGCAGAGTTCAGGGAGAATGAGGATTGAGAAAAAGCCATTAGATTTGCCAATTAGGAGATCATTAATATCTTTGGAGAGAGCTGTTTTGGTGGAATGATAATAAGATCAGAAATCTTATAAAGTCAGAACCCCTAAGGGGGTTAAGAAAAGAGTGAGTAACCAGGAGAACGTTGTACACAGTAACAACCGAGTTGTTCAATGACTTTGATAGACTTACCTCTTCTCAGCAATGCAAGGATCTAAGGACTTCTCCAAAAGCCTCATGTTGGAAAATGCTATCCACATCCAGAGAAAGAACTATGGAGTTTGAATGCAGATCAAAGCATACTATTTGCTCTTTTTTTTCTTCTGTTTTGTGTTGTTTTCTTTTCCTTGTGGTTCCTCCTATTGATTCTAATTCTTCTTTATAACATGACTAATGTGAAAATATGTTTAATAGGAATATATATGTAGAGCCTATACCAGATTGCTCGCCATCTTGGGAAGGGAGGTGGAGAAGGAAGGGGAGAAAATTTAAAACTCAAAAGCTTATGGAAGTGAATGTTGAAAACAAAAAATAAATTAATGAAAATTAAAAATAAATAAATAAATTTTTCATTTGATTCTCACCAAAAAAAAGTGAGTAGAGAGAAAGTGGAGGCACCTATTTTAGACAGTCTTTTTGAGGAGTTTATAGCTACAAAGAGCAGAAGACAGAGAGGACAATAGTTAGCAGGGATGGAAGGATCAAATGAGGACTTTTTTCAGGATGGAGGAGACATGGGCATATTTGTTGTTGTTCAGTTATCTCAGTCATGTCCAATTCTTCATGACCCCATTTGGGGTTTTCTTGGCAAAGACACTTGGAGTGGTTTGCCATTTCCTTCTCCAGCTCATTTTATAGGTGAGGAAACTGAGGCAAACAGTTAAGTAACTTGCTCAGAGTCACAAAGCTAGTAAGTGTCTGAGGCTGGATTTGAACTTAGGTCTTCCTGACTCCAGGCCTGGCTCTCTATCCACTGCACTACCTAGCTGCTTAGGCATATTTGTTGACTGTAGGAAATGAGCCAGTAGAGAGTAAAAGATTGAAAATAAGTGAAGGAGTGGGGATGACAGAAGGAGCAATCTGTTGAAGGAGGAGATGGAATAGGATCGCTTGAACAAGTAGAGGGGTTAACCTTGGTAAGGAGTAAGACTATTCCATTATGTGAGACAGGGGTGAAGGAGGAGGAGGTAGTGGCAGAAGGCACCTGAGTGATAGGAGATGAAGAGGGAGCTCTTGGCAAAGTGCCTTTTTTATTTTATTTTATTGTAAAATATGAGACAAAGTTCTCAGCTGAGAGAGTGGGAAAAGGGAGATCCATGGGAGGTTTGCAGAGGGATGAGTTTGGAAAAACTTCTATGGAGAGTAGGACAATGAGTTGATAAGGGAGGTATAATAGGATTGGCTAGCAGCAGTGAGGGTCCAGTTGAGGTTCTTTTGCATAAATTTGTAGTGGTCACAATCACAACAGTTGTGTGATTTTTTTCCACCATCAGTCAGCAACATGTGTAGGAGCAAAGCTGACAAATGGTAGGAATGGTCCAAGGCTGATCATAATCAGCAATCAATTCTCAAACATTCTTTAAACATCCACTGTGTGCCAGTCACTGCCCAATGAGGACGTAAAGCTAAAAATAAAAATCTTTGTACTTGTCCTATCCCCTGTAAGTGCTTTGAGACCAGAAGAGAGACTACTTATTTTATTTTTGTTATCCTCAACATCTAACATTGTGCCTTGCCCATAAGAAGGCCTTCAACAAATGCTTGTTAAATGTTATTGGAGGGCCATGCTTGGGCCTGTGCAGCAGCTTGGAGTAGGGGAGAAAAACTTCATGTGAGATAGGGAGATCAGCCATGACACTGATTTGCTGGTGTCCTTGAATAAGAGCCTTAACGTCTCTGAGCTTCTGTGGTCTCACCTCTGAAATTGGGACTAACAATAAAATTTAGAATTGGAAGAGCTTAAAGACCATGTAAGCCAACCCCCTATTTTACAGAGGAAGAAACTAAGGCCCTGAGATATTGCCCAAAGTCAGGCACGGAGTAAATAGTGGAACTAGAATTGAAACACACAAACACACAGTCTCAGAGTTGGAAGTTTCTGCTCACCAGTCATCCTGCTTATCAGAAGACCTCTGAGATTATTTCCAGTTTATCCTGGGTATATCTTGTTGATACATACATATTTGTTTGCATGTTGTCTCCCCTCTTAGAATGGAAGCTCCTTGGGGGTAGGGACTGTTTTCCCTCTTTCTTTATATCACCAGTGCCTAGAATAGTGCCTTCTTCATAGTGGGTGCTTAATAAATGCTTGTTGACTTTACTTGGCTCTGGACTCATCAACTCACATGGGTTCATTAAGAAAGGAATCTGGGTCCTTTTGGTGGGTAGGTGAGGTCAGAAATGGATTTTCCTAGTATGTCCTGGCCAGGACTGGAATAAACTGGAGGTCTCAGGCAGGAGAGCAGTGCAGAGGCTACTGTCTAGCTGAGAAAAGAGACTCTCATGCAGGTCAAGGACCCAGGACTTTGATGGAAATCACTCTACTGTGATTTCCTGTCTACTATTGTTGCTTCTTCTACTAAACCACATAATTCTGGAATGACTGGAGTAAACCAGGCAAGTCTTGGTATTTAGGAAAGTCCTGGATTCAGGCTTCCCAAATCCCATGATCCAGTATTCTTATAGGACTATGACCTGCCCTCCACAAAATACCTCTCTATCACATCTGCGCTGAGTGCCCTTCCTTTGTATTAACCCCATTCACAAGACTGGAGTGGAAAAACAGGGGCTTCAGGGTCTCTAGAGTAGAAACAAAGGAGCTTAGAAGTGGTGGTGGATGTAAACAAAGAGTCTGCACAGATTCCTCCCCACACCCCAATTCCTGGGTCCTTATTGTTCCCCTGGGGACACTGAGATGGCACTTTAGAACCATCTCAATGGTACACTTTAATGTACAAACAGTACATTATTCCATTTGACCCTCCAAGCTCCATAAGGTGAAGTGTGCAAGCATTATCCCATTCTACAGATGAGAAAACAGGTTCAGAGAAGCCATTGCCATACTGTTATTAAAAAGCAAAATTGGTTGTCGAACTGAGGTCTTTTGATTGCAAGTCTAAAGCTTTGTTCATCATACCAACACCCCTCTTGCCCACACATCCCTGGCCTCTGAAAACAGATTCCACCTCTCCACTTCTTTCATAGGGCCTCCCTTCCACTCCCCATTTCAAAACTCTCAATTTAGCTCCCATAGCCCCTTCTTTCTTGAGGGAAATAACATTTCTTAGTTTGGCCAGCAGAGAGCAGTGCAACCCTGTCATATAGATTCAATTCGCCAGGACTAGCAGAGTCCAGAGGGTTCCGGGAGCCAATGCTCCTCCCTGAAAGTCCATCAGGGGTGGGGAACCTATGACAGCGAGGCCATATGTGGCCCTCTAGGTCCTCAAGTTCGGCCCTTTGACTGAATCCAAACGTCACAGAACAAATCCCCTTAATAAAAGGATTTGTTCTGTAAAACTTGGACTCAGTCAAAAGACTGAAACCAAGGACCAAGAAGGTCACGTGTTGTCTTGAGGCCGCAGGTTTCCCCACCCCTGGTCCAGTATCACCCTAAAAGACAGAGGTGACCAGTATAGTCTTCCCTCCTCTAACACGGGGACTGAGGTACTTTGTCATAGTTTGGTCCACTAAAGCTCTCCTGGATAGCCAGAATTGGCAGGAGCTCCCAAAGTGTGTGTTGAGGGGTGGGGATGGGAGAAGGAAGAGCTAATCTCTCATAGTGACCCTTGGGGCTTCTTCCAGATTGCATGGGGCAGGAACTGGACTCTGCCTCAGGTTAGAGTGGCACTGAGTAGGGCACATTTTGCAGGTATGTGAAGCCAGTCAGTCAATAGACACTGGTTAAGCACCTGCTATGTGCCAGGAATTGTGCTAAATGCCGGGGATATGAAAAGAGGCAAGACAGCCCCTGACCTCAAGGAGCTTACAGTCTAAGGGGTCAGAAGAGCAAATGTGTACAGACACATCACCCCTGATGGAAATAAGTAGGAAATAATTGAGAGGGAAGGTACTAAAATTAAGAGGTTGAGAATGTCAACAGGATGGAGATCTGAGACAGTCTTTAGAGAGGAACTTTAGAGATTAACTTGATGCAAGTCCCAAAGATGGCTCAATCCCTGCTCACATTTCATTATGCTTGTGAGAACCCACTCATTAATCAATCAACCTGAGCTTACTGTGTGCCAGGCACAGTGTTAAGTGCTGGGGATATAAAGGCAAAAATGGGACAGAGCACCCGGTGAATAGAGCTCTGGCCTTGGAAGCAGGAGAACCTGAGTTCAAATCCAGCCTGACACTAGTTGTGTGACCGTGGGCAAGTCACTTAACCCCGATTGTCTCCAAAAAAGGAAGGGGGACAAAAACAGCCCTCAAGGAGCTCACAGTCTAACGACAGAGACTTGTAAATAGTTATATAAGAGCTGTACACAGGGTCGATGGGAGGTCATCTGAGAAGCGAAGGCCTTAGCAACTGGGAGGATCAGGAAAGGCCTACCTACTGTGAAAAGAGGGATTTGATGTGTCTTAAAGGAAGCCTGGAAACTTAGGAGTTGGAAGTGAGGAGGGAGATTCATTCCAGACATTAAGGGCAGTCAATGCAACGGCACCGAGGTGGAGACAGTATGATGTTTGAGAAATATCAAGTAAAGACAGAGTAGCTAAGAGAATGCATGGAGAGGAGCCTAGTGGAAGACTATAAAATATGCCATGTTGTGAAGAGCTTCAGCTGTCAAGTGAAAGAGTTTGTAGTTGATCCTGGAAGTAACAGGGACCTCATTGAGGAGGGGCACGACAGGGTCAGGCCTATGCTTTAGAAAAATCCCTTTGGCAGCAGCTAGCCAGCCCTGAGTTTCCACCCTCATTCAACTGAAGTCTAGAAACAAGTCAAACCTTGTATCTCGACCAGCGCCCCTCCTGTTAGGCTGGGAAAGGGAGTCTCTCTCTCCCAAACAAGCTGAGCTTCAGATCCTCTTCTCCGAGACATGCACACAGCTGACGTCTTAGTCAACTTCTAGAGAAGCTGTGGGTGGTCGTCAGGGACCAGGTGAAATGGAAAGACCTATTCTTTTCCCCCCTCCAAGAGTATAGGCAGCTTCAGTCCTGCATTCCTTCTATTGGTTATCCTTTTGACTTTTGGAGAGAGAAATGCAAGGGCAAGAACAGCAGGGAGTTTGAGGAAGAACACGACCTCCCTAAATCCCTCCCTTCTGCCTGCCTACCAGAGGGCCTCACATATTGCTTAACTGCCTCAGAGATGGAGCTGAACTTTTACTCCATTATAGAGGTTGGGGCAACAGAGCCCAAAATAGCCGAGCCACCTGGCCCTTGGCCCCTGTGGAACAGGGCCTCCAAGAAGGGGGGAAAGGAGGGTTAGCACCAAGTTACTTCTCTTCCCACGACTGTTTGGGTGTGTGGGAGACGAGGGTTTGTCCTTGCCAGGCCCCTGTGGGTGGAGTTTGCAATGCTGCCCTTGGCTCCTTGGAAAGGGAAGGTGCCAGGGAAATGTGAGATAAGGTGAGAATTTCACAAACTAATAGCTCTGGCCAGGGTTACTCCAGCTGCAGCCCCTGGTCAGGCAGAATGAGAACAATGATAGGGGAATAGGGAGAACTGGTCAGCAGCAGGGGAGAAGGAGCAAGGTGATCTGATCTAAGGTGATGAGAAATAAGATAGGGGCAGAAGCAGCTTTCTGAGTGAAACTAAGCACACTTTATTCAGCATAGGCATGCTTGCAGAGGGCCCTTGCACAGGGCTTCCTCTTAGGTGACTCCATTTTAAACAAACTCTACTGTAAACACACAGCAAAAGTCATGTAAACAAGGGCCAGGGTGGGCAGGGGAGCACCATGCACAAGGAATTGAGGCAGGTCACAGCAACAAACACACAAGGAACCAAGCTTCCCCTGATCTCATTTTCCAATGCCAGCCTCTTTGGTTCATACATTTCTTTTCCCTGGGGAAGTAGAACCATCCCCCCTTTCTCCCCCAACCATCTTCCCTTCAGAGTTGTGCTCACATGTCCCAGATAGACTCAAACACCCTCTCACTGCCTGACAAAGAGGGCAGTGGTCAGAGGAATTCCCTATACTAATTTATTTGTAAAGGCCAGGAATGATAGTAAGGATATGGCTGGCCAATTTAGGGAATGTGTGGGGACAGATGCCAATTTAGCTACCACTGTCATGGCTACCAGGGCCATTGCAACAACACATGATTAAAGGGCCATAAAGCCGACAGCCCAGTGTGGGTCAAGTACAAAAGTACAGTACACTGATCTACATTCAGCAACCTGGATGGAGGTGAAGCTGCTTTTCCGTGGCACCACTTCCCATGTCCAACTATAGATATTTCTGAAAAGTAAGTTCGAGGGTGGGAAAGGGCACAAGAGCTCTGAAAAACAAGGAAGGTCCACCAGTCTCACAAAGAGAATCATTGTGAGTGGTCATAGTCCATACCAAAACAGCATGATTGTGGAGGAGGGAAGGGGTCAGGATCTTTGGGGCTCTCCTGTTCTGTTCCAAATAGGTTAAGTCTCAGTGCAAAATAGTGTTCAGCTGTCCTCACCCCCCCACCCCAAACCAGCAAAGAGATGGGGGACAAAGGAGTTGTGGAAGGCCTGGGAGCGGAGGATAAATGTCAGCTAGGAGAAGGAAATCCCAATGGGTTAAGGAGAAAGCAAGGACTTTTGCTCTGAATAACTCCTTTGCACTTTGGATATATGGGAGGGATTGAGGAGTTAGGAATCTCAAATAAAGAAACCTCCTTAGAACACGTGGGTTTTGAAGAGGAAAGAGGGAGGAGTTCCTGGGCCTATGCCCAGGCCACTTCCACCCTCTTTCTGCTCCATTTGAGCTCCAGATTGCAACAAAACTCACAAAGGTTCACGGTTGAAGGGCACAGGGAAGGAGGTACAAATTTCCACCTTCCAAGATCTGTTATTGAGTTTAAGTGAAGCTCCTCCTTCCTGAGGAAAGAGATTTGGGAATTCCTCCAATAATTCCTGTTAGAGTTTCAGGGTACACACACAATTGGGGAGCTATTGTTTCCCTTGTCTAACAAGAGGGGAAGAAAAAAAATGATGTCAACTCCCCCAAACACCTGTTACTACTTAGGTACAAAGGTGAGAAGAGTAGTGAACCACAGACTGGAGAGGGAGAGGTCTTCCCGTCTCTATATAATGTCTAATGGCAGGAGGCTGGGAAGGTTAAGTTGGCTCTCTAGTCAGTGGCTACATCAGAATCACGGCTGTGCTGCTCAAACTCTTCAGGGAACACAAAGCTGTGGGGATCAGAGACAGAACAGGGGAGCAATCACAGTCTACATGACTTCCACAGATGTCTAATCATCACAACAGGGGAACGATGTGGTCTGGGACAGGCTGGACCACTGGATCACTCTTCAAACTTCCCTTCACGAATGTGGTCGAAGGAGAAGGGGAAGAACTGGAAGCCAGTCCCGCTGTAGAACTTATTCTGGAACTCAACCCTGGGGAAAGGAGGAGAGAGAATAAAATTGATCACTACATGGTACTCCACAGTGTGGGAGGAAGTGCAGCCCCATCAGGTGGAGGCTCTAGAAGCATTCGTCAAGGGTGCTATAGTTATGGGTTAGGGTGGGCCTCGAAGGCCCCTTACAACTCAGGTTCTGATAAACCTCACCCCAGGAAACAGTTCCTTGGGGTCGGTCTAACAGTCTTATCACCAAAAAATCCTTCCCAGCTTAATCAGCTAATATCTGATTTCCCTGGCCTTGGAACTTCCAGAACCACAGAATGTCCTGAGAGTCGGAAGGAACCTCAGAGCTCTTGTCAAGCCTCTTCATTTCACAAAGCAAGAAATTAAGGCCTACAGAGAAGAAAGGGACTTGTCCAAGGCCATACACTACTGTTAAAGCCATGACTTGTATCCAGTCTAATGCGCTTTTGTCCCACACTATGCTGCTTTTTCTTTGGCTATGCCTCCCTCTCTTACCTTCCTCAAGGACACACTGTTACTTGTGTGTATCCCACATACCCTGGCATACATTTGTGGTTAATATTTTACTCCCTAGCCTGATATCGGTGAGTGTTGTTGCCTTGCCCCTGGAGTCAACCACTCTGGGTCTTGGTTTCCTTATCTATAAAATGGGGGGGGCCAAGGAGGGGAATTGGGCTAGATTAGTTGTCAAACTCCGGGGCAGCCTGAACCAGATGAAAATGCAAATAGGAAATGTTTTACAAAATAAAAGAAACAACACAGATGATATGAATTTGTTGTTTTCTAAGTCAACCATGCAGCCTCCAGGGATCAGTTTCTCTTTGAGTTTGATACTACTGGACTAGATGCCTTCCCAGTTCCCTGTGCACCTAATTTACATCATACACTCCCTGAGGGCTGGATTTGTGTCCATGCAATTCTCTTTGTATAGCTCCACATGTAAAAGATGCTTTATTAAAGGTTATTTTTAAGTGAAATGTTTCTGCTGCGGTTTTTTTTAAAGGTCCCACAGACACACCCAGCACCACTGTCCATGTTTCCTTAGTCCCCCCATTTAGGCTTAAAATAACTCATTTATACCCACAGCCTAACACTATAGGCAGGATCCAGGCTCTCCATGTGTATTCGCCTCACTGAAGCCTCATAGAGCCCCTCCTGGGACGAATGGTGCTTGGGGAGAGAGGGAGGCCTCTGCCTTCCAGAATAAAGACAGGGGCTTGACAGTAACACGTCTGAGCCATTACAGGGGAGCACTCAACAAATACCACTGGAGAAGCAGTGGGTTTTTTTGGTAGAGCTACAATGGAGATTTTCCATTGAAATGTGACTATTCCCAGGAAATGGGGGAGGTGAGGAGGGGAAGTATTCTTAAAGCAATGGCAAAAACATTCTCAGACCATAAAAACATCTTGTGAGCAGGAATTCTTCTCTTGGGGACTAAGGGGAAAACCACAACCTCAACCCCCTTCCCAAGCTGCTTGGCCTCTCTGTTCATGGCAGGGTCCCTGAGGCTAGTTTGAAACTCAAAGGGAGGTGGAGAGGGAGGTCCTTTTCTTCTGTAACCAGAGTGATATGGAGGTTGTTTGGCTGTTGCTGCTTCTTATAAACTCTATCTTAAGAGTATGACCCTGGACAACTGCCCAGCCACCAAACAATATCCAAATATGGTGAGAAA